TCGAAAACCCAATGAGTCATATACCCAAGCATGATGTTACTGTTTTTGGTGTGTCTACTGATTTAACTGATCTTAATTTACCAACCCATCTGGATATCTTGAGATATTATTTTTACTTAAGCGAACGTGCTAAAACAGAACAAAAAAAGTTTTCCCATAAATCATTCACTATTCAAGTACAAGATAAGATGATTGGAATTTGGGAAAAACTTGGTATGGAAATAATGCTGAAAAGAGTGTATTTAATAAATTGAATAAATTGCTTGACAAGTATCAAGAGCAAATCAAGAGAAGAAACAACACCCAACAATTTACAGAGTATGTAAAATCTCTGTAAACAATTTTTTACATTGGAACATGTAAATGCGATTTGAAGGCAGCTCCATGTGCATGCGGCTGGGTTCCCGAACGCCTCAAAGAGTTCATGCACGATCAACATAATCAGAGAAGACTAACAATGGATGCATTTGTGATGGAAACTGAAGAGCAAGGAGCAACGTCTATGTCATCAATGCCAACATACCAAGATCCCGATGATTCAACATACGCACCGCCACCGGTTCAAGAAGATATGGATAGAAGCACAAGTTCACAATACACAGAGAGATACGATTGTTTTAACTTTGCCTTGGTATGTGACAGATTTGGTGTGCCTGACAGAGTAGCATCAGCATTGGGAACCGCTCTTTTGCAATATTTTAAAATTAAAGATAAGCATGGGAAACCTCTCATCATGGATAAATCGAAAGTTCGCAGAGAAAAAGAGAAATGCAGACAAGAAGTGCTTCGCAAACGGTTAGATGATACCAATTTGTTAGCGTTTTCATTCGATGGCAGAAAAGATGATACTTTAACGATAGATAAAATTGATGAGAAGTATCATACTAGGATGGTAAAAGAACCTCATCTTGTTATTTTGAGAGAACCCAATTCTGAATTGATTGGTTACGTAAGACTGGAACATGAAACCGCTGAATACAAAACAACCAAATTAAATGGTTTTTTCAACGATAAAAATATATCACTGGATGCATTAATTGGAATATGCACTGACGGTGAGCCAACAAACACTGGCCCACACGGTGGAATTATACGACGATTCGAATTGCTGTTAAAAAGACCATTGCATTGGTTCGTTTGCCTTCTACACTTCAACGAACTTCCGTTTCGGCATTTGTTTGAAGCTTTGGATAAATCAACCAGCACTGGACCAAGATCGGCAACCGGAAAACTGAGCCGTCAAATCGAAACTTGTGAAACTCTTCCGGTAAGTTATTGCTATCACTCATTTATTATAATTGTCACCCATTTTTAATTATTTTATTATTATATATTTTCAGGTGGTGGACGGCTTCCAGAAAATTGAGTTGCAAAATATGCCCCCTGCTCCAGAAAAAATTGAATTTTCCACCGATTCGAAGTACTTATACGACATGGCCCATGCAATTTCTAGCGGCGTGGTTCCGGTGGATCTGGCTAACATCAAACCAGGGAAAATTGTACATTCTCGGTGGCTCACCAAGGCCGCTAGATTATTGCGATTATATGTGACAACGGAAAATCCAGATGCAAATTTAAGAATTCTGGTTGAATTTATAATTAAATTATACCGGAAAATGTAGAGGCTGTTATGGCGACGACATTCGAGAGCCGTGCGAATTGCCCAGACTTGAAAGTAAAAAAGACTTCAAACAATAATTTTTTTTAGTTTCTTTTCTATAACTCACTTAAATTAATTTTTTCATTTACATATGTTCTGACTAAATAAATTTCTTAAGAGAAAAAATAGATATTATTATAAATAAATAATAAATATTATTATAAATAAATAAATAAAAATAAAGAAAAAACATAGCCATTTAGCTGATTTTTTCATGTAAAGGCCAAAAATAGTGATTTTTTGCAATGATTGTATGGGGAACCCCCCAGGAGAGTTCCAGGGGGTGTGCCACTGGCATAGGTGGATCANCGTCCAAAGTTAGTGGGGGTCGGTCATACATTTGGACTCGATTGGAGCACTCTAAATGGGTCAAAGTGGGATTTTTCAAAATTTGCCCCTACCCAAAAGTTCGACCCAAATTGGGGGACATCAGAATTCGTTTTAGAGGTATGGTTCCTTCGGCAAAGTTTCTTATTTTGATCCCTAGAATACGATTTTCACAGAGCAATGAGCGATTTTTAAATCGACCCGCCCTAATGCGCAGTGTTCCATGGCCCCTATTTATCGGAGAAAACATTTCTGGATTTAACGAAGTCATATCCTTCAAATCGGTCCATGTTTTATTAAAAAGGGATTAAAAAGATTTATTCTGGTGGACTTATATACTTATATATGTATAGCGTAGCGTATGCGTTAGACTCTAACGTATATATATTTATAGGTATAGCGGAGCGTATGCGAAATGTTCCACGACCCCTATTTATCGAACAAAACATTTCTGGATTTGACGAAGTTATAACTGTATAATCAAGAGCGTTTTCTTGATGCGTAAAATTTACTTTAAAATTGCGGGGGTGAAAACCTTGAAATTAAAACACCGACCGTGTAGTTTCGCTGTCCAAATTCAACTGTTTTATTATTCAAAAACATTAGTTCCATCAAGCTATGGTAAATGTAGCACAAAGCATGAGATAAAAACTAAGAAATAAAGAGAATGTACATACATATATATATGTGCATAAGAGTAAAGCTTAACTCTTTGATTACAATGTAAAAATCCATAGCTATGTTATTTAAATATATGAATATGACCCAAATGGAAAGTGCTGAGATACACACATATCTATGTACATATGTGCGTCCGACCCAACATCCCGGCCCCGTTGAAAGTATTTGGCAACTTTCAAGATACTGGTAACAAAGCCAACTTGTGTATGGGTCGGCGAATTACTCCTCTTGCGGTACGAACATCAGCAACGCGTACACGGTCGTCCTTACCAGGTATAACTGATTCGATACGACCCAGCACCCAACATTGAGGTGGTAAGTTATCATCATGCACGAAAACCATTTGGCCTACGGTTACTTTAGTTGACGACTTGGTCCAGTTGTTACGCACCTGAAGCTCGTTTATGTATTCCTGTGACCAGCGACGCCAAAGCTGTTGTTTAATCGAGCTTACTCGTCGCCAATGTTCTGAAAGATCCAACTCCACGACTGGGGTTTCAGGCATTGCACGCATTGCATCTCCGATTAGGAAATGGCCTGGTGTGAGTGCAGCCAGGTCATTCGGGTCCGACGAGAGCGGAGACAAGGGACGGGAGTTTAAAATCGCCTCTATTTCTGCAGTTACAGTGGTTAGCTCTTCGAATGTGAGTCGGGCATTCATTAAAGTACGGTTGAGCAACCCCTTGACACTCTTGACTGCTGACTCCCACAGGCCGCCAAAATGGGGGGCCCTGGGAGGGATGAAATGAAATTTTATGAACTCATTTAAACAAAATTTATTGATGGAGTGGATCGTTTCTTCATTGAATAAAAATTGCTTGAGTGCCTCCAATTTGTTGTTGGCTCCTTTGAAGTTGGTAGCATTATCACAAAAGATGTCGGACGGAAGTCCGCGTCTGGCTACCAAGCGCTTCAAGGCCGCAATGAAGGCTTCGGTTGACAAATCGGACACCACTTCAACATGCACCGCCTTCGTGGCAAAACATATAAAGATGGCGATATAGCTTTTGTAAGGCACTTTTCCGCGGATACGTAGGTACGTGTTAACCGGGCCACAAAAATCCACACCGCATCTTGAGAATGGTCTCGATGGCGTAAGGCGCTCGACAGGTAGGTGACCCATTATTTGTCTCTCCAGGGTTGGTCGATAGCGAACACAGTGAACACATGAGCGGACGACCCGCCGTGCTACTTCTCGTGCATTGACAATCCAGAATCGTAGACGGATAAGGCCAACTAATGCCTTTGGGCCCGCATGGTAGTTCTGCCTGTGAACAAATTGTACATATCGTCGAACAAATTCATCTTTACCTGGGAGTAATATCGGATGTTTCTGGGTGTATTGAACGTTTGCCAACTCCAAGCGACCTCCAACCTTAAGCAGCATAAATCCTTCAGTCACCTGTAAAAAGGGATTTAAAAATTTAAGGTGGCCGCTGACCTCTCTTCCTTTGCGAAGTGCTTGGATGTCATCGGTGAAGTATTTGGTCTGCAAATTCCAAATAATACAATGCATGGCACGTAGTAGTTCTTGTGGCGAGGGAGATGGTGTATCGAAAGAACACAATTTTCTGCTTATGTAACTAAAACGAAGCATCCAGGCTACGATTAGCAAACAACGGCTATGCGAGCTGATGTTGTAGATAACTTCGAGTAGATAGTTGGTAACGCTAGTAACAGCAAATGCCGATTTGCGTTTTTCCGAATCAACAATATTTTGGTCAATATCACCCGGCCTTTGTGTTGGCCACTCGTCTTGGTGTTGTAGCAAATAAGCAGGACCCTCGAACCACATAGACTGATTTAGCTCATCCACCGAACATCCCCTTGATAATAGGTCGGCGGGGTTACAGCGCGTTGGAACATATTTCCAATGACAGCTGGAAGTTTGCTCCTGTATTTCAGATATTCGGTTTCCGACGAACGTGGACAGTGTGGCGGAGTGTTGCTGAATCCAGAATAGCACGATTTGCGAGTCACTCCACAAGAACGTCGAATACTTGTGGTCAGCAAAGTTCACTTTGATTTTGGCAAAAAGTTGTGCCAGCAAATGGGCGCCGCACAATTCCAATTTCGGAAGCGATAGTTTTCTAGTTGGTGCAACTCTTGATTTCGATGTAACTAGATTCACCTTAACCTTACCATCAGCGCTGACCGTACGTGCGTAGATGCAACATCCATAGGCCCTGATGGATGCATCGCAGAAACCGTGCAACTGAAGGCTCCCAGCATTTGGTTGTAGGCAAAATCGTGGTATCTTAAGCAGCTCCAACGACGAAAGTGATGAGAGAAACGAAATCCATGCAGTGTGGATGTTATGTGGAACTGACTCATCCCACTGCAGCCTAAGTAGCCACAGTTCTTGCAGAATAATTTTTGCTACTATGATGACAGGTGACACTAATCCCAACGGATCGAATAGAGATGAAGCCACTGACAGTATTGAACGTTTAGAGACAACGTTAAATGTCTGCTTAGGCACAAGTGAAAACATAAAAACGTCTTCTTGTTGATTCCATCTTAACCCCAGAGTGCTAGTTATAGCTTTGTCGTCCAGATTTAGCTCTTTGATGGTGCAATCATCGACAAACTCGATGTAGTTTGAATGCCATTTTGCAAGTTCAAATCTACCACGACGAAGTACTTCGGTAACTTCTGTTTTGATTTCACGAAGAGTATCAATAGTATTTGCTCCACAAATGAAGTCATCTACATAAAAGCACGATTTTATGGCCTCGGCACCGATTTTAAACTTATCCAAGTATTGATCAGCCAAATATGACATACTACGTATGGCAAGATATGGAGCAGCAGCGGTCCCGTAAGTGACTGTATTGAGTTCATAAGTGCAAAGCGGTTCATTGGGTGTATTTCTCCAGAGTATATACTGAAACTGCCGGTCCTTATCATCAACAACAACCTGTCTGAACATTTTGACAATATCGGCAGTAATCGCGTAGCGATACAATCGAAAACGAAGGAGAAGCGTGTATAGCTCGAGCTGTATGGTTGGTCCGACCATCAATAAGTCGTTAAGTGACTTCTGTGACGTAGTCTGGCAGGAGGCATCGAAGACAACCCGTAACTTTGTCGACGTACTGTTTGGCTTAAATACACAGTGGTGGGGTATATAAAAATGAGGCACATTCATCTTCGGCGTACTCACCAAGCTCATATGGCCCAAACGTTGGAACTCTACCATGAAGTCTATGTATTGTCGCTTAATATCTGGTGTGCGGCTCAAGCGACGTTCAAGAGCTTCAAAGCGTCTGCGGGCGGTTTCATATGACCGACCTAGCAAACAAGGATTATCCTTGAATGGAAGACGAACTACAATTCGACCATCGTTTTGTCGGCGAACAGTGGTGATGAAGATTTCCTCACATTTGCGTTGCTCTGGAGTGTAGGTATCAGCTGGTGTCCTAACATCTTCGATACGCCATAGGCGCTCTACGTTCTGGTTTATGGATTCGTCCAGCGATAGTGCATAGCTGTGCGGTGTTGTAGATCTTGCATCACAACGACCGGAAACAACCCATCCCAGGAGGGTCTTCTGCAGCACAGGCAAATTAGGACCAAGTTTCACTTGCCCAACAGATAGGATATCAAAAAATGCTTCGGTTCCAAGGAGTAGGTCAATGCGGCGCGACTTGTTGAAGTTTTCGTCAGCCAATAGCGTATTCTTGGGTAGATTCCATGATGAAATGTCGATTTCCGATTCTGGATGATAGGCAATGTGCGATGTGACACAGAAATCGAGTGGCAATTCCAATTCGACAAAGCGTGATTTGATTGTGGTAGACGTGCGATGCTTAACCTGAGTTTGGGACTCCCCAATGCTGCGAATTTCCAAGTTGCTTCTCTTACGGGTAAACGAAGTGTTTGTGCGAACTTATCAGATATAAAATTTACCTGGGAGCAGGAGTCCAGTAGAGCGCGGCCAATTCTGTAACGACCTGTAGCATCCTTAACCTGTACCAACTCAGTGGCTAGTATAATTCGATTCAAACAAGTGTCCGTGTGTGTATGAACAACGGCATCTGAACTCTGCTGTATCATCGTTATGGGCTGTGATGCCACCGGAAGCTGTGTTATTAGCATCACGATGTAACAGCGTGTGATGTGGACGAGTGCACGTTCGGCATCTGTGCCTTGAGGGACACTTCGCAGCCTGATGACCTTTACCGAGACAGTTAATGCAGAGCCCCAAACGTTTTGCAGTATCGTAGCGTTGATTAAGCGTATTTCCAATAAGTTGAGGGCACCTAAAGGTTCTGTGTTCGGTATTTGAGCAAACGTGACAGGCTTGTGGTGTACAGTTGAAGGTCAACCCTTGTCGTTGCGGTTTTTGGTTGCGTGGTTTACTCACTGATTGTTGACTCATAGTAGCATCCATGCTGGGCTTACCTATAGATTCTAGGTATTGGCAACGTCGTTCAACGACGCTAATGCAAGATGTCCATGTCGGAAGATCTCGGAAGTCTAAAAACTCATTCCATTTCTTCCTGGTGTCCTGATCGACTTTGTCCATCACTATCGAGATGAGCATAGCCTGAGCAATTTGCGACTCAGAACCCAGTGACAGTAACGAGTTGTACAGGGCTGATGCATTGTCAATGAGACTACGCAGATGTTGCGCATTCGATTTGGAAACATTCGGCAAGCTGAATAAGGAATTTATATTATCCAAAAAGACGAGCGTGGGGTTGTCATAGCGAGCTTTAAGACGTTCGAGCGCTTTCGGATAATTTTCAGAAGAGATCTGAAATGCCTTCACAGTTTCTAAGGCCGCTCCCTTCAAACAATTAAGCAGTTGGTTGAACTTCTCGATAGAAGACAAGCTAGGTTGACTATCAATGACTTGCTTAAATGACGTTACGAAGTTTTTGTAGTCGGAGTACTTGCCATCAAACGTAGGAAGTGCCAGTCGTGGTAGCTTCATGGATGTTGAATGAGAAACGCAGGGCGAAGCATCGGCCACGGTTGTATTGTGGGCGTCCGCGCCCAATTGCTCTTTAATGCAAACCTTAATAGCGACGTATGTGTCTTCGATTTCACTTCTGGTGTCCCGCTGGGCTTCGTCTGGATCCATCTTCTCCATTTCGGTCTGCACTGTCATTACCTGCTTGAAGTAGGCTTCTAAAATAGACAAACGACAGTTTAGTTCAGCTGACGAGACTCCAAGTTTTGTATCAACTGTGCTGCGAATGCGGGTTATGTTCCGACGGACGCTGCTGCTTAAGAGCTTCTAAGTTGGCCATTTTGGTGATGCAAATTAAGAATTAATTGTGGTTTGATTTTAATACATAAGTTCCGCAACTCGAAAATCAGCTGCTGTATAATTCGTGGCGAATAAACGTTCTTATGCAGAAGTGCTAACTGCATGAATACCCTCAATGTATGTATGTAAAACACTGCTATGTTTTTGTGCCTTAGTACAAAGGAATGTAGCGGTAGGCTATGGCCAAATTGAACAACGAGTGATGCGACGATGTACAAATGTGTATGGTTTCTATGCGAAATATTTGCCCTATGCAAAGTTGTGGTGGCGTGATTTCAATCACCGCTATCGCCAATGACAATACCCTCGGACTGCACGACCAACAATAACGACTTCTTTACGAAGTGGCGCGATAATACCGTCCCGCTAACAACAACGCTCCTATAGCGTAGTGGGTGATAACGACAGCGCTCCTGTAGCGATGCCTGGAGAACAATAGAGAATAGCAGTGCGGTTCTGGCAGGCTTTATACATGTGCAAATGAATGTATACTAGTTGTACATATTTATGTACAATGAGCGATGACTGGTCGCCCAGTGTTTTAATATACAAACACTGGCCTGCAATTTTGTAAATGCAGCTAACGATGTCCCGTGCCAAGTGTTTGGAGACAATGTACTGGCGTGGTATGCAAAGAAAGCGCTCTGGGAAACAGCTCCTTGCGATCTCGAATGCAATTTCGAAAATGCACGGGATTTTAATTTCAATAGAATCACGGGCCCCACGTTGGGCGCCAAAATGTATAATCAAGAGCGTTTTCTTGATGCGTAAAATTTACTTTAAAATTGCGGGGGTGAAAACCTTGAAATTAAAACACCGACCGTGTAGTTTCGCTGTCCAAATTCAACTGTTTTATTATTCAAAAACATTAGTTCCATCAAGCTATGGTAAATGTAGCACAAAGCATGAGATAAAAACTAAGAAATAAAGAGAATGTACATACATATATATATGTGCATAAGAGTAAAGCTTAACTCTTTGATTACAATGTAAAAATCCATAGCTATGTTATTTAAATATATGAATATGACCCAAATGGAAAGTGCTGAGATAAACACATATCTATGTACATATGTGCGTCCGACCCAACAATATCCTTAAAATCGGTCTATGTTTTAATGAAAAGGGATTTAAACAATTTATTCTGGCGGACTTATATACATATAGATGTATAGCGTAGAGTATGCGTTAGACGCTAACGTGTATATATTTATAGGTATAGCGTAGCGTATGCGAAATGTTCCACGGCCCCTATTTATCTGAGATAACATTTCTAGATTTGACGAAGGTATGTCCTTCAAATCGGTCCATGTTTTATGGAAAAGGGATTTAAAAAATGTATTCTGGCGGACTTATATACATATAGATCCAGCCATAAATTGGGAACCATAAGCCACATGAACCTGAAATTTGGTGTGCAGACATATATATAGGAGGTGTTTAGAATAAAGTATATATAAATGTGTGTGTAAAAGGGGGATAAATATATATTCAACTATTAGACCACTCGGATATTTAAAACTGGGTTTTTTGAAACTTTAGACCATTTTGAAATGGAAAGGTTAAATCATTTTTTTTTTATCCCGCGATGCTGTTAAATGAAACATGTGCATGTATAATGAATAAAACTACTTCTGAAATAAGCATTCTACCGGAAAAGTGCAGCTATACTAAAACAGCTAAGTGAATAGTAAACTAAACGGAATCTACCATAGTAAACTAATTTTAATTAAAAAATTCTATCGTTACCTTAATCCACCTTATATTAGTTATGGAACAAGATTTTTAGTACAGAAAGTGATGATCAATAAATAGTAGTTGAAGAAAATAGTTTTTCTCCTCTAATTTGTGCTGAACTGAATATTTGTATTACTGTTTTATATATTGATTTGTTTACCCCGAACGATTTCTGGCTATTTTTTTTTTTTAGTTTCACTTTTATTTCTACATATTTTGATTAAAAGAAAAATATTGATAAAAATTAAATAACAACAAAAAATATAATCAATAATCGCATGAGGCTATTGCCTGAAAATTTTGAAATGCCATAGTCAACTTATGTACATATGTACAGTAGTCGAACAAATTATAGCCGCACCAAATTTTCACAAGTTTTAAAATATTATTTTTGCTGTTATTTAGTTTTGGTTATTTTTTTATAGTTCATTCTTTAAAAGCGNGGAAAAGGGATTTAAAAAATGTATTCTGGCGGACTTATATACATATAGATCCAGCCATAAATTGGGAACCATAAGCCACATGAACCTGAAATTTGGTGTGCAGACATATATATAGGAGGTGTTTAGAATAAAGTATATATAAATGTGTGTGTAAAAGGGGGATAAATATATATTCAACTATTAGACCACTCGGATATTTAAAACTGGGTTTTTTGAAACTTTAGACCATTTTGAAATGGAAAGGTTAAATCATTTTTTTTTTATCCCGCGATGCTGTTAAATGAAACATGTGCATGTATAATGAATAAAACTACTTCTGAAATAAGCATTCTACCGGAAAAGTGCAGCTATACTAAAACAGCTAAGTGAATAGTAAACTAAACGGAATCTACCATAGTAAACTAATTTTAATTAAAAAATTCTATCGTTACCTTAATCCACCTTATATTAGTTATGGAACAAGATTTTTAGTACAGAAAGTGATGATCAATAAATAGTAGTTGAAGAAAATAGTTTTTCTCCTCTAATTTGTGCTGAACTGAATATTTGTATTACTGTTTTATATATTGATTTGTTTACCCCGAACGATTTCTGGCTATTTTTTTTTTTTAGTTTCACTTTTATTTCTACATATTTTGATTAAAAGAAAAATATTGATAAAAATTAAATAACAACAAAAAATATAATCAATAATCGCATGAGGCTATTGCCTGAAAATTTTGAAATGCCATAGTCAACTTATGTACATATGTACAGTAGTCGAACAAATTATAGCCGCACCAAATTTTCACAAGTTTTAAAATATTATTTTTGCTGTTATTTAGTTTTGGTTATTTTTTTATAGTTCATTCTTTAAAAGCGTTCGTATAAATACAAGTTTAAAGGCAGTGTCACACGATTGGGTATTTGCCAAAATTTGGTGCAAATCGATCCCAATTGTGTGAACACCCAAAATATTTTATTTTATAGCAATCACGAAAATAAATTTATTGAAATTTATCAATATAATTTATCGCTCTATCGTACTAATCTTTAGACTAAAAAAAATGTGTCCCATTTTTTTTTACCAATAGCCAAATATAAAAATTTTCAAATCTGTACAAATGTACCAAACGAGTGATACTGTCTTAAAATTTTATGCAATTTAAAAAAAAGTTCAGCAAATTTTCGTTAAGTTTTGTAGCCCATTGAATTCTAGTACAATAAAGTACATGTTTCAAATGGCTAAAAATTTCGATTGGATTTTTAGAATTTTTAAAAGAGTTCCAAATTTTTACGAAAGTTTGTTGATTTTTTTAATATTGCATAAATGAGTAGTCCACTTGCAAACAGCGTTATGTGATTTTATAATAGAAATCCATAAATTAAGAAAACGTCTACAACAACAAGTAACATGCAAATTGTATATTTCCCTTTATTATCTGAAAATTTGGATAAACAAGAGCCTAATAACATTAAAAAACAACATCGCAGTGTGGTAGTTTTTGCAAATTATTTATATAACAAGTAAGAAAGTCTAAGTTCGGGCGGAGCCGAACATTAAATACCCGGCGCACGTATTAAATATATGTTTTTCACCTTACCGAAAGCTACCGCTACATGGTAAGCCGGGGCGTATCAATTTTGAGTAAATTAGAGTCCTTAGATTTCGAAATTTTGAAGTTTCAAGCAGTTCTGAAATTTACCGTTATATGTAAAGCGGCCTCAATTTTAATCCGCTTTCAATAATTTTCAACGTTTTGCTTTTATGTGCCAAGCACAATAACCATACCGAGTTTGGTACAAATTGGTAGAACGGTTACCGAGATACATATATGTGATCATAAGTGGGCGGTGCCACGCCCATTTTCCAAAATTTTATCACAAACGTATTTCTTGGTTAAGAATTGTTGCAAGCATCAATTTTGAATAAATTAGCTTTAATATTTACTGATTTATCGAAGATTTTGTATTTCTCTAAATTACCGTTATATGGGATGTAGGCGTGGTTATTGTCCGATTTTAAAAATTTTCGGCCATTTGGTATGTTGTGCGAAGGCCAACAACTGTGTCAAGTTTGGAAGAAATTGGTGCAGCGGTTACCAAGATATACACATGTAATCATAAGTGGGCGTGGCTACGCCCATTTTCCGAAAATTTACAATATTCTTATTTTTCGTCCAAAACTTATTGTAAATATCAATTTTTAGTGAATAATCTCCAGTAGTTACTAAAATATCGCAGTTTTCGTATTTCTGAAAATTACCGTTATATGGGAAGTGGGCGTGGTTACAGTCCGATTTCGCCCATTTTCAATACCAACCTACCTTGGATAAATGGAAACCTACATACCAAATTTCGTTGAGATATCTAAATTTTTGCTCGAGTTATCGTGTATACGGACGGACGGACAGACGGACAGACGGACGGACAGACAGACATGGCTTAATCGACTTCTCTATTCATTCTGAGCATTTGTGTATACATTTATCTATATCTATCTCGAACCGTTATGTGCACAAGTTCGCTCGAGTATAAAAAATTAAGATAGTGAGGTTTTTTTTTTTACATAGCTATCTTGTTTTAGTTTTTCGCGTTCTCTCTTCCACGAATTGGTCTGCTTATTTTTTACGACGCCTTGCACTAGGCACCGAAACTACC